CTTGTTCAGGTTATCCTGGTCAAAATAGGTCTACGTTTCTTAAGTAGCACAGAATTTTAGAATTTCACTTGATACCAGTAAAGTTGATACCAAACATCTACAAAAAATGTTTGTTTGTCAGCTGATACATTTACAAACACGGATGTACGTGGCACACCCAAACACACGTACGTTAACAAACGTCTTTTCCTATCAAACTTTTAACATGGTATTAATCATAATAGAAAGATATGGAAAATTATGTTGAAATATAGAGCGCTCACAGAGAACTCCAAACAGCCTGTTGCTACTCCGAGTTCCGCGGCATGGGGAATGAGGGACGGGATAAACTTCCTCCAGACCCCCCTTCCCACATGGCTTGTGAGACCGACTTTATAGTCCCCAGCCTACACAAACCAACGTTTTCCAAGGTTTGGCAGAAGTCACACTTGCCGCCAGTAAAACATCTTCCCAAATCCTTCGAGACAGATCTCCGCAGCGGGAAGAAGAAAGGGGGTTGGTGGGGGACCTCGTGAGGCAATAAATTATCCCAGGTGTTGAATTCTCGCCATCGCTTGCAGGTTGAAGACCAGCGAAGAGGATATATGTTTCCTTCTCAGATACAGCATCATAGTACCTCTATACAAACTACAGGCTAATTGGTCACTTAAACTGCTACATGTAAACACAACACCGCGATGCCGGGCTGGAGAGACATTTAGCACCAGCTTCAGCATCGCCGTCGGTGCTCACCCTCCCGACCGGGATGATCACTAGGTACAGTGGCTTTGATATACGCCGCCTGAATCATACATAATCGAGTTAGCAATCTGTAATAGATTCTCATGGCACTAAATTAAGTGTTTATTGAGAAACACGCCCACCGAGGCTGTTGTTGTAAGTATTTGAAACACGGTAGCACATCTCCTGGTTTATCTTGATGGCGGAGGGTTGTGTCGTGCTAAGGGTTGGGAAAAAGTAACAGCAGGTAGTTTCTTGTTTGCGTCGGGAACCGTGGGGTTTTAAGGAGAGTGTGGTGTGAGTGAAAATAATGTGAAATACAGACAGTTTCTCAGTAGATGGTGGAACAGGACAGAAGTCATATCTAATATTTAAGATATCTGATCCTGTGAGAGAATTCGCACATAACTGTGATATTTCGTCATATTCATGATTAAAACAACAAAAACAATAAAACTAAGCGAGCAACACAAAAAACAACAACAAACAAACCAAAAACAACAAAACTGCAAAACACATTAAGCCCCAAACTACCAAATTCAACAAAAATGTCAACACCAAAACAACAGCAAAACAAACAATACCAAATATCGGCAAAACAAAAAAATACCAAATATCGGCAAAACAAACAATACCAAATATCAATGCCAACAAAACAAAAGATACCAAATATCGGCAAAACAAACAATACCAAATATCGGCAAAATAAACAATACCAAATATCGGCAAAACAAACAACGAAACAGAAAAAGACAAATAGATGTAAAAATGAGTTTTTATTAACACACCCTATATGGCTCTACCTGTGGTATATGAACTTTCCTTGTGTAGATTTAAGATAGCTGTTCAAGTTTGGACACCGTTTGTTCCATTTACATATAAATCAAAACAGAAAATCCCACCAAAATATCAAAACTACTTTGAACACATGTTGCATACCGGGTTAAATAGTCCCAAATCCGCCATTTTGTTTTTCCTTTACGATGCACATGTCAATACCTCTGTGTACGACAAACACTATAATCTGGTCATGCTTCATGTATCTATTAATCATAATCAGACCAACATCATCATAAACCGGATAGTGTAATTATCACGTATCTAATCTCCCACAGGTTTAAACTGAAACACTACCCTCGTTTACACAGAGGGTAGTGTTATTCCGTCCAGTTAATACGGAATCGGAGCCACGATTATGTGAAATGTGATCGCGAGTCCCACCAGCCGTCTTCTGTACTCGGGGCGTCCACGGTGATGACATTCACTGTACAGAGTTGCGTCCCTTACCCTACCAGAATCTGCTGATCACATGTTTAAATCCCAGTTTAGCCCCAGTTTAGACACAACATTCACTACAATATATTTGGATCCCATTACTGTGTAGACACCTGTGTCAATGCATGTACCTACTAAACACATATTGTGAAGTTGTGTGGATTGTGTCAAGTGATTTCGAAAGAAAACTTGTGTTTCAACAATGGCTTTTACTTAAAGAATATTATTTCCAAGTAATTCCAGTCTGACCAATCATCAAGAGCTAACTTTGAAATTTAAAAAACAATAAGATTGTTAGAAATCTGACGTCTGTTATAATTATTCGACCGTCTTTTGTATGGGCGTTCATTGACTGGGTCCTGATAATTGTGCATTGTTCCAGGGGCGGTGGGGTAGCCTAGTGGTTAAAGCGTTCGCTCGTCACGAGTTCCGTTCCCCACATGGGTACAATGTGTGAAGCCCATTTCTGGTGTCTTCAGCCGTGATATTGCTGGAATGATGCTAAAAAATGGCGTAAAACTAAACTCACTCACTCACACACTCACTCTGCATCGTTCGAACATGTCCGATCACAGTCTTTACAGTCTAACCATCTTTGGCTGTCTTTATCGCTGATGTTATGTAGGGCAGTCTGTGTAGACATCCACTTAGCTTTCTGATCAACTTAGGAATGTTAACATTTCAGTGTAATTTTAGTGAATTTGCATTTTTGTACAACTTGATGACACAATTGCGGGCGATTACTCTTGTTCTTGTTAGTTAAAGTTAAGGCATTCTACAAAGCACAGGTCTCTGCTTAATTTCAAAATGCTCAACGGCTTAGCGTCATAATTACCGATTTCATTTTACACAGCTGCAAGAAACGACGATCGAGTCATCAAGAGAATTTCTATTACACATGAGGATAATTATTGCATTCAATGGTGTTGAGTGAGTGAGTGTTCGTTTTCATGAACATAACTCCAAAATAGGCCACGCCCGCAAACAAACTACGGTTTCCCAATTGGTTTATAATACAATGGGCGGGACAATGAGCGCTGAATGACTGACTGAGTATGGTTTTACGCCGCTTTTAGCAATTTTCCAGCAATATCACGGCAGGGGACACCAGAAATGAGCTTCACACATTGTACCCATGTGGGGATTCGAACCCGGGCCTTCGGCGTGACGAGCGAACGCTTTAACCACTAGGCTACCTTACCGCCCCCAATGAGCGCTGAACGATGTCGCCGATTCTGTAGTGTTATCTTTGGTGTAAGTCAAGGTGTTAACGGGTAAACAAGCCTTCTGTGGAGTTATTACTTTTAGATACATGTTGATTACATGTTCAATACGACGGTTAATTGCAGAAGTCATATCATCACTAGTTTGCAAGTTGGCACAAATAAACAAAAGACATAACCTTCACATATCATAATTTGGTTCCCATTGTACGATTACGACAATGACAGAAACATGCACTTATGAATCACTGTCGGATAAATAGTTGACACCAGGCCGCACGTCGCTATGCGTGAGACAATCGTAAACGCGAAACTCCAAATCACGTGATCTGTACGCACACGTGACCTATGGCGGAGTAAAGCCACACCTAGTCCCGATTTCTTGAAACAAACTTAAGATTTTACTCAAATTTCAAAATGAGTTTGACAATTTGAAACATAATTTTTTTTAACTCAACTGCATTTTTAAAATAAAAAAGCCCAAAAAACTTAAGTAATCTATCCACAAAACTCAAATTGTCTACCATGTTTGAGTTTGATATCGATTTCAGTTCATTCTGGGAAATGCATTTTCCTGCGTTTGCTCAAATTTGAGTAAAAACTCTAACTTAAGTCAAAACTTAGACTTATATTTTTTGTGTCGAGAAATCGGGTGTTTTAAAAATTGAACGTATCCTGCCCCGCTTGTGGTGCCGGTGGCATGACTGTAAGATATTTACATACAGTGTGAGGTTGGCTATGTCCTCTTTCAGCCACAATGCCCTGACACTCCTATGGATAATGTCAATGCCTCGAGTGTCCGTCTGTACACTGTTTTGTGAATGACCTAACGCCACATACGTTCGCTGTGTGAATCAGTACCCAAGATCAAAACATACAGGTGATGTGAAATACACTACTCAAAACAAGATCAGATAAGGAACACCGAGTATGGTTTTAGGCCGATTACTACACACACTCTACTCATGTGGGGAATCGAACCCGAAACACGAGCTTTTACCACTAGGCTATCTAACCGCCCCATAATTGGAAGGCTGTGTTTCGCAATACTTAAGAGCCACGACAGACTAGCTACAGTCGAGCGAGAAACATCAGCGAGCGAGATGTTCCAGTTGGATTCTGGAAACCAAGTTCATGTCAAGGTTGATATCTCATGTACATTTTAAAGATGCTTCTGTAATTCTGTATCTCCGTATTTCACGTTTGATAAATCAAACGAAGCGCATGTAAAATCCACACTCTATAGCAGAGACAGTGCCTTGATATTCACCTGGTCCATCCTATTCAACGTTGTGGTGGGTAGTCGATGGGTGTGACGTGGCACAGTGAGCGGTGAAGTCAAGCGGTGAAGCGCGTCGTACAGCCTTGCGTTGATTTCAGCGTTGGTACAGTGTATTAATATCAGTAATACCGTGCCTGTGTGGTATGGATTGAATGCTCATGAAACTGGTTAACATCTTACTCACTGGCACTTATTTTTTTGAAATATTATTTTCAAGATTTTTCAAAATGGTTAATTTATTCTGGTTTGTTCAAGCGGAAACATGTAAGTATCACAATTCCATAGAAAATGTTCAAGTTTCCAGAACAACTGGCATCTAAAACCATGTGTCTTTTGGTAACGTTAACACTTTCCATAAATGTATTATTACTATTATTTAATATTTCAGCAAACAAATGTCCGGTGTCAGGAACATCTTAACATCACAGAAAATTATGCTGCACTAATTGATAAAAGTTGCGCTAATTGATATCTGACAAAAATATTTTTCAACAGTATTCTTAAATAATTGTGCTGTAGATGGTAGTTAGGGAACTGAGGTTGAGGGCTGAGGAACTGAAGGTTGAGGGCTGAGGAACTGAGGGTGGAGGGCTGGGGAACTGAGGGTTGAGGGCTGGGGAACTGAGGGTGGAGGGCTTGGGAACTGAGGGTTGAGGGCTTGGGAACTGAGGGTGGAGGGCTGGGGAACTGAGGGTGGAGGGATTGGGAACTGAGGGTGGAGGGCTTGGGAACTGAGGGTTGAGGGCTTGGGAACTGAGGGTGGAGGGCTGGGGAAATGAGTGTTGAGGGCTGGGGAACTGAGGATGGAGGGCTTGGGAACTGAGGGTGGAGGGCTGGGGAACTGAGGGTGGAGGGCTTGGGTGGAGGGCTGCGGAACTGAGGGTGGAGGGCTTGGGAACTGAGGGTGGAGGGCTGGGGAACTGAGGGTCGAGGGATTGGGAACTGAGGGTGGAGGGCTTGGGAACTGAGGGTGGAGGGCTGGGGAACTGAAGGTGGAGAGCTGGGGAACTGAGGGTTGAGGGCTTGGGAACTGAGGGTGGGAGGGCTGGGGAAATGAGTGTTGAGGGCTGGGGAACTGAGGATGGAGGGCTTGGGAACTGAGGGTGGAGGGCTGGGGAACTGAGGGAGGCTTGGGTGGAGGGCTGGGAACTGAGGGTGGAGGGCTTGGGAACTGAGGGTGGAGGGCTGGGGAACTGAGGGTCGAGGGATTGGGAACTGAGGGTGGAGGGCTTGGGAACTGAGGGTCGAGGGCTGGGGAACTGAAGGTGGAGAGCTGGGGAACTGAGGGTTGAGGGCTTGGGAACTGAGGGTTGAGGGCTGGGGAACTGGGGTGGAGGGCTGAGGAACTGAGGGTTGAGGGCTGGAGAACTGAGGGTTGAGGGCTGGGGAACTGGGGGTTGAGGGCTGGGGAACTGAGGGTTGAGGGCTGAAGAACTGAGGGTTGAGGGCTGGGAACTGGGGGTGGAGGGCTGGGGAACTGGGGGGTGGAGGGCTGGGGAACTGAGGGTTGAGAGCTGAGAAAACTGAGGGTTGAGGGCTGGGGAACTGAGGGTCGAGGGCTGGGGAACTGGGGGTGGAGGGCTGGGGAACTGAGGGTTGAGAGCTGGGAAACTGAGGGTTGAGGGCTGGGGAACTGGGGGTGGAGGGCTTGTGAACTGAGGGTTGAGAGCTGGGAAACTGAGGGTTGAGGGCTGGGGAACTGAGGGTCGACGGCTGGGGAACTGAGGGTTGAGGACTGGAGAAATGTGGGTGGGGTAATAGTGTGGTTCTATCGTGGGGTCTAAGGCAAGACGCATAGGTAGTTCCTACTATGTCTAGCCATGGCTTTGCTAGAACTTGGGTACAATTATAGGGTCAGATTTCTAAGAAAATGTTGATCAGTACGTGACCTATTTCCATGTTGGAGGATGGCTGTCAATCTTTGAACCAGGCATAACCGTCCATTTCCCTTCCTATTTTCTACCCGTGAAGGTCCGGGTTAGAATATTGATCTTCAGTAGTCCATGCTTGTCGTAAGAGGCAACTAACAGGATCGGGTGGTCAGGCTCGCTGACTTGGTTGACACATGCCATCGGTTCCCAATTGCGCAGATCGATGCCATATAGCTGGAATATTGCTGAGTGCGCCGTAAAACTAAACTCACTCCTATTTTATGCATGCAAGACAACATATTTTCGTAGCCGTATGAAAATGTCTAAATCAAACTAGTAATTGTAATAGCACTGTTAAAGCGCGTTTTGTCTTATATTAATGTATTCTAACTTATCTGATAAACACCTTTTCTTCACTTCCATTGACTTCCATAAAGCAGTGGATGATTCGAGTGTCTGATTTGTAAGGCATGGAGACCGAACGAGTTGGTATTGATCTGCATATTTTTCCAATAGCCATCGAAACACATTGAAGTGATATGCCCAGTTTCAACGTTTTTGATTTCCAGAGTTTTAAAATGTAATTTAAATTAGAATTAGAATTTCTTGCTTCGTGCATTGTGACAGATATACCTGGATCACTTATTGCTGAAGCATATTGACGCCATCCATTGCATCATCTCGTCATCCTATTCAAGGGTGACAGAGGTCGGTGGTCACGGATACATTTGTTTCCGTCTTCTTCGTACTATATGGGGCGGTGGGGTAGCCTAGTGGTTGAAGCGTTGGCTCGTCACGCCGAAGACCCGGGTTCGAATCCCCACATGGGTAAAATGTTTGAAGCCCATTTCTGGTATCCCCCGCCCTGATGTTGCTGGAATATTGCCAAAAGTGGCGTAAAACCAAACTCAGTCAGTCTTCGTACCATATACCAAATGACTCCTCAGCTAGCCGAGAGTGAAAACAAAACACAAAAGCTCTGATCCAATGACAAGTAGTATTAATGTAGTGCCTTCAGCACTATCAATCAATCTTTATTCACTCATGAGTTACACAGAACCAACATAATATTTACAACAAGATGGCAAATAATTTCTTGAGAAAATGTGATAAATCCTTAATGATCTTAATATTCCCATTACACATTGGTTTCTTATATTTTACTAAAGATGGACATTGGTAATAATACTCATTAATCAAACTTTTACGTTGAATTGATAAAGCAGTGCAATCAAATAGATAGTGGAATTCATCTCCGATAAGTCGTGTGAGTTACACTTAGTGCATAATCTATCTTGACAAGGGATGTTATAATATCGTTCCTTTTCTACTGGTAAATTGTAGTTGTTCTAAAATATAATATTGGTTTATATACCTTCCAACAAATAAAAGATATTGCTCAAAACATGGGGAATCCTTAATGCTAAAATAATAAACACCTTGAGATGAATTGTTAACATCACTTCGCCATGACTGCAGAAATTGATCTTTAAAAATGTCACAAACTGTTGCAATTATCCATTCTTTGCAGTAATTCTGAGGAATATCGAAAATGAGTGGTAGACCACATGTTACAAATATAGTTTTAACGTACTTCAACGAAGGATACGATGTCCATGAATACTCTTGTTATATATGTAATCAAGCAGAAATGACGCAATTGTATTGTTTGGTTCTGGACATGATAATTTAGACCAATATCAGATCACACGTTTAGCCACTTGTAAGCGCAGTGCGGATCTGCCTAATTCACCGTAAACCATAAAATGTGGTGTAGACATCTTTAAACTTGCTGCCAATTGTAAGAACTTCAAATGAACACGCTCGATAATAATAATGTTTTCAACCCCCCAAATTTCGCAACCATAAAGCAGAATCAGAAGTACAAGTTTATCAAAGAGATGAGACAATCCAAAGGTAGATTTAAGTTTCCATCAGCGTGGAATTTAAGGCGTTATAAACGGATTAATTAACTTACGAATAAATTAATACATTTTGAGGCAATCAAATGATGCCAAACTGTCAGGAGAAGAGTATAAACTTTAACCGATTTGACCGATAAATTGCTATCATGAAAATGTTACCAGGTAGAAATCAGACGCCGAAACACTTCCAATGGTATGTCCCGGATCCACTTGCTTAAAGCTGTCTTAGCGCTAAGGTGGTCGTACCGCCACGTTAACACGGGCTTACGACTGTCATAACGCTAAGGTCTCTTTGTGCAAGTGAAATCCAGAACACAATCATACTATCAGCAAATACATTACCATAAAAGAACCATTTCTTTTTGGTTTCTGTTTTCAGCCACCATAAACTTTATCGTTGTACATTTTCTTTTGGTGAGACGCTGTATACCTAATATTTTGAGTTTTATACAGAAACGAAACCAAAGTATATTGAGGGAAAATAGAGAGAAAAACTTAGCGTCCGCTGTGACAGACGAGTAATCGATACTTTATAGACCTCTAATTATATGATGAGACTGATAATACTTCATTTTAAGGGCCTGTAGCTTTGTGTTGTTTTTATAGTAGAAAATACACGCTATTATTGACAAAATAAATGATTTTTGAGAGAGCATGTTTAAGTTACCCTAGTGTTCATGCCGAAACTACAGAACTCTGTGGATCAATGCTATATCGCTTATTATAACATTTTCGGTCGATATTTGAACAACACTTGACTTTCACATTCACGCAGCAAGTCTGGGGAGACAGATTTTTTACAGCATGAATTTTTTTTTAATCTTAAAAACATTGTCACCGAGGCCAGGAATGAATGTAGATCCGTCATCGACCACGCCCTGGCAACACTGTTCTGGTCCATGCTGCTGTTCCCTATGGGAGCTGGTGCCGTGATCGTATTGAAATTGTGTATGTGCAATTGTTCTAATGTCACATGAATCTGTCACATAACTCCCACACGGAGACGACAGTGACAGCACTGTAAACGTCGTCGTCGTCTTGGGGAAAGGAGGAGGGATCGTTTTATCAGATCAATGTCGTCATCAAAACCCTCACATCAGATGGTTTAGACTATTAGGTGGGAGATAATGTATCCTGTTGGACTCTAGTTTCATTTCCAGATCAATTCCTTGTTACAGGATTGCAGCAACGGGGACGGCACCTTCGTTGAATTAATAAAAAGTAACATAAACAATACGTAAAGTCAGATAGCAATGAGTTGATGATGTTGCCGTCTCGGTGTAAGTGTTGAAGTGCTGTTCCTTCCATGCCTTTGTTGAACCAATACATGTAGTAGTCTAAGATGTCGCCGTTGGGGTAGATGCAGTTGTAGAAGCAGCAGTAGTACAAGTTGTAGTTACAGTATAATCATTAGTATAAGTACTAATAGAAAAAAGGTGGTTGAGGGTGTTCTTAGTTTAGTAGCATTGGTAGTAATGATGAGAAAACAATAAAAGAACCAATGCAGGTGGCAGTGGTGTGGTTGTATAGTGGAAGTAGCATTTGCAGTGCAGTAGTAGTAGTAGTAGTAGTAGTAGTAGTAGTAGTTGTAGTAGCAGTAGTAGTAGCAGTAGTGGCAGTCAGTAGTAGTAGTAGTAGTAGCAGTAGCAGTAGTAGTAGTAGTAGTAGTAGCCCAGTAGTAGTAGTAGTAGTTGTGGTAGTAGTAGTAGTAGTAGTAGTAGTATAGTAGTAGTAGCAGCAGTAAAGTAGTAGCAGTAGTAGTAGTAGCAGTAGTAGTAGAAGTAGCAGTAGTAGTAGTAGTAGTAGTAGTAGTAGTAGTAGTAGTAGTAGTAGTAGTAGTAGTAGTAGTAGTAGTAGTAGTAGTAGTAGTAGTAGTAGTAGTAGTAGTAGTAGTAGTAGTAGTAGTAGTAGTAGTAGCAGTAGTAGTGTTAGTAGTGTAGTAGTAGTAGTAGTAGTAGTAGTAGTAGTAGTAGTAGTAGTAGTAGTAGTAGTAGTAGTAGTGGTAGTTGTAGTAGTTGTAGTAGTAGTAGTAGTAGTAGTAGTAGTAGTAGTAGTAGTAGTAGTAGTAGTAGTAGTAGTAGTAGTAGTAGTTGTAGTTGTAGTAGTAGTAGTAGTAGTAGTAGTAGTAGTAGTAGTAGTAGTTCACGGTTGCTACTCATGTACGTACAACTACTGATATTACTGCTGGTAACTTTCAGGAGAGTGATTCATATAACTGAGGATGTCGTCAGTCTGTGTTGGAGTAAGAAGGTGTTCTATGCCGCTAGAGGCTGACAGGGGGTATGAGGAGGAGAGTGCTGGCTGTCATACAGTCACTTGGAGGTTACACTCGGTATTGACCTTGAATCGTGTAAGACACGCAAAATGACATTATGAATGTTCACATTCACCAATAAATTCAACATTAAACATTCCAGGGCCATACTTGTACAGGCATGGTTTTGTATGAAAATCAATATTTTAAAAATTGAGCAATTATCATCATAAATTCCATGGATTCCAATCATGTTGTCTTTTTATGAGTCAAAGGATCACACGGGACAGAAAATAAACCATGTCTTTCCATCGTGTTCACCACGAGAAGTTCTATGTACGTGTTGAAAACCCACCATTGCAAAAATACAGGGGGTGCTTAATTAAGTTCTTTGTGCATATATTAAAATGCCATCACTGGATGAGAAACGTCTGTTGAGAGATTACCAAAGTCAGTCACAATGACAGCGCTTCTTCAAGTATAGGGTGCTGTCTCACCAAACTCTTCAGTGATATAACTGACATACCTTAACATATTAATTCTTACGACAGTCGTAGATTATTTTGTACAACGGCACCCAAGACGTCAGAATGGCCGTTATTGATACACATGTACATTTACATACGTCGGCCAACACTGATCAACTGGAGGTCAATGGAAGGTGATTATATCGTCTTGTTTGTTGTTTAACGCTGCACTCAGCAATATTGAAGCTATATCGCGCCGATCTGTAAATAATCAAGTCTGGACCAGACAATCTAGTGATCAACAGCATGAGCATCGATCTACGCAACTGGAATACAATGATATGGGGGTGGGTATTGCAGAGAATTTTCATATTGCGATATGTATTGCAATATATTGCATGAAGTATTTTTAAACAAAAAATACTTATAATCAAGTTAATTCTTGATTTATAGAGCAAAAACACAACAAAATCACTAGGCTTGATTAAGCTTTAATAACAACTAAAATCAGCTTATTATTATAAACTTCGTTTATTTTATTTCAAATACGCGTAAGGAGTCGAGAAAAGAATATACTCTGTTATAAGGGAGGTAACTCGAATTGCCAGTTTTTGGAGCACCAGAGATGGGCACCACACATTGTACCCATGTGGGGAATCGAACCCGGGTGTTCGGCGTGACGAGCGAACACTTTAACCACTAGACTACCCCACCGCCTCAGTAGACATTGTACATAACTCCGGACCTGGTGAATACAACATTAATTGTTAGTGTCCCTATCACAACTTACTGTGACATGTGTAACGGGTAAAAAGTAAATAACGAGGGATTTTTGTAAGTGATAGGGTTTTGCTTTAGTCGCTGTTTCAAACATGACCTTTATTTCTCTGATCGTGGGGACGAATAAAACAAATCAGTTGACAATATAGTTTGAAGACATCCGACTTGTTTAGCCTACAAGTAGTTTAAGTAACAAAATAAATCTCTTTGTAACGCGTGTTCTCCGTAAATACCATCACGAATTCGTATTTACACTGGAAAAAGGTTGCATTTGAAAGGATTCGTGTCTTATGATACTGCAAACAAATGATGTTACTAGTATATACGATGGGATAGCCTGGTGGTTAATGCGTTCGCTCGTCACGCCAAAAACCCGGGTTCGAATCCCCACAAGGGGGAAGCCCTCATTTCAGGTGTCCCCCGCTGCGATATTGCCAGAATATTATTAAACGTCACGTAAAGTCATACTCTCACTCATATTCCTTCGCTCAAACCCGTTCAAAAATATGTTTACTAGTCATTTTCTATTCACCCATCCTCAAACACATACATGTGAATAAATAATTGCTACCTCCACGAAGATATTTGTAGCTGCATTGTTTCTGTTGGTAATTCAGAATTCTGGAAACAATCACAAAACCATCGGACCATTTGTAACATTCACGTTTGGATACAAATCGCTCCCTTGGTAGCTCGCTTAGCTCCCCTTTGTATATCCCTAAGTCTTCCCCGACCCCTCGGGATGCAACTCCTCCCCTGACAACCCCGTGTAAAATCTTCCCACGGTGCAGTATGCTCCTAAACATCTATACTTAATCCTGACAGAACCGACCCCAGTGCCTTACCATTGATTTTTGTCCCCGGGTAATCATCTCATTATCTGAACTCACTCTCCAGATTCAAACGTGTTTCAAACAAACCATGTGCTTGCTCCAAGTTTCATTTTCAACAAAATGATTGTGTATTCTGAACGTAAAAAAATAATTCTTTGTTCGTCTCCACTGGAGAGCGAGTCCAAACCCTTGATACTAATGTCAGGACAACTAGACAGAGGTTCTTTCAACCAACCCAGACGTTACACGACTCCTGGGAGGTGAGCTTTGACAAGCGGTTAACCAGTTTAAACGGATTCAATGAACCATACCGTTTCATGATGTTGAGTTCAAATAAATGAATAATAAAGCGATGCTAGATTGAAGATGTATTCAGTGCAGTTAAAACTGGAACCTCCCCGGACAGGTAGAACGTAAATTCTGACAAAAAAGAACTCAAGACAATGATGTTGTGATAATCTTTAGGGAAAAACATAGATCTTGAAGCAGGGGAATGTCGGTACATTCTTCATATATTCAGTTTGTTTGAATCAGAAAAAATGTTAATACTTTGTTATCTGATGTTGAAATGCACATAAATCTAATTACATGTGATAAAGTTTATGTAGATAAAAATGGAAACGCTGATGATTTTGAAGAAATGACAAATAAACTTACTTGGATAGAACATAATTATATTCGTTGCTTTCAACACTGAATCATCGCCATCCTAAAGACTCGAGTCGATTCAAATAGGTTTATGGTTTGGTGTTCAATATATGAACTGATATTTGCAGTAACTTCCTCACATACTTCACTGATCGGGTGGGGCGGCTACGATTTTTTTAATGTCTACGCATACGTGCTCAAATAATTTGTCAGCGAATGTGTAATAACATAGTAAGTAATAACATATTTCTACAAATAAAAGACCGTAGGCGGTTCCCACACGAGGACGCTAAATTGAATTTGTTAACAGGACGCGAGCCCTCTATAGCACCGAAAACTTGAAATATCCCCTCCGGTGTTTTCTGCCCACAATCCATAACATGTACTTCAATGTTGTAGTTGAGGCAGACCTAACTGAAATATGTTTTGGATTGAAATATCACATGTTTAGAACATAAACAGTTGTATAAAGTGAATTTAATCCTGACACACCCGGCAGCCATGAGCGGGTATTAGTACCTGGATGTAGCGCTGTATAAATACCCACATTATTATTATTATTATTATTATTATTATTATTATTATGATTTACAGATTAAAGATAATATGCAGCAGAGAGGGTTCGGGTGATCCTGGCACAGTCAGGCTGGTAAGGCTTATCATCAGCTCAGGGCCCTTGCCCCCTCTACACGCAGCCCAGACAGCGAATGGGACTTATCCCAGGAAACGCTGCCTAGTCGAACCCACCAAGAACTTTCCGGAGAATATGAAGGCTCCCCAACACTGCAGCCTTCTGCATTACCAAGAGTGTCAGAAGGGCTGTACTCCCGGTGGAGAACCCGGGCACTCTCCTATTATTATTATTATTATTATTAATATTTCTATTAGGTCAACTATTGATAATTAGACCTGGCAATCAGAATCACCAACACTTGCACAACATATATATCACCAGGACGTACGACGGGCTGGCTACACTGTCAACCTACTTGTACGTGAAGTAAAATAATGGTCTCCGAAACACAGATGACAAGACTGGCAAAACACATACAGTAATTTATTACGTACATTAAATACAGACAGACAAACAGACAGAGTTTATTTTGTAATGTCGGCCTAATGGCCCATAATACATTTACATAATACAAGGTACAGATGGACAGTGGTCATTCTCATTAACGTCATTGTAGCTTTATACCTGCAAGAGAGTATTTGGTGTATAAATAAAGCAGTAATGAATATAATACGTGGATGTTTAGAGCTTAAAATATTATGGAGTGAGAGTAGGCCCTTGTATACATTTCTAAGTTGGATGAGATATTTTTCGCGGAAGTGTTGGTACTGTTTACAGGAAAAGAAAATATGTTTTTCGTCTTCAATTTGTGGGGAATTGCAGAATGTACAGTAGAGCTCTTCAATAGGCATATCTTGATGACAAAAGATGTTGACTTTAAAATAGTTTACGTTAAATAGTTCCAAGGGAAGGAAGGTTGGTGGTAGTTGGGAGTTATGGAACTTTTCCACATTGAGGCTCTATATACGTTTATATACGACACCTATGAGATAAGGTATACGTCTGTATCATACACTACACCAATTGGCATCAATACTTGTCTCTAGAATACGATTTCTTCCATCAACCTACTCACCGAGCCTGACCACCCGATCCCGTTAGTCGCCTCTTACGTCAAGCATGGGTTATTGAAGACCCATTCTAATCATCTACCTTCACAAAGACGATGACAACTACACAGACAGTGAGTATCTGTTTACATGTTATCCTTCGCGATGAATTTTGATATTTTGTCCAGGGCGCCGTTGTACAAAGCGATTTTAGCGTTAAGCCGATCGTAACTGCCATACTTACCAA